ACCAGGGAAGGTAAAGTATCTTTTATTGCTTATTTTCGACAAGCAGTCTTCGATAATCGGGAAAGGGTATTTCTGTTTCTCGACTCTCGAATTTAGTGGTCTCAGATCAACGCATAGCCTAGGGTTTGCCCTGTTTTTTTGATCACTGGAACTACCCTCGCACAGTACGGAGATATACTAGGCTGTATTATGTCCCGTCGCAACAGATCGTCGGTGATCTTTCTTATTTCTAATCTCTCCGCCAGCGCGAATCTTCGCGGTGCGTACGCGTATACCGAATCGTCCTTTATATTAACTTTTACCGCATAACCGTCCTCAACCTGTTCTAATTGTTTTCTTTGTGTTTCAAGGATAAGGAGTTTCAAACGTTCCTCTGTGTCCGGATCGGCATCGGTTTCAATGTTTTCCAACGCGACCGGTAATTCATTGTTTGTCCGTCTTTCGTCTATATAGCACGGAAGACAGGCAAACAAGTTCACCGTCTCTTTGTCTCCTTGACTCGGCGGCGAATACACCAACGTGAGTGTTTCGCTCGCCAGAAATTCTCTTCCCAATATTGAATCGGATTCCAACGGGTCACCTTTCAGAATGTAGACATTAGTTTGAAACTTCCTATCCTTTACTGTTTCTAACCGAAAATCAATTTCTATCATCCCTAATACTTCTAACGGACAATTACTTAAATTTATCAAATTTTTATCCGATGATTTTACCGCGCTCGTGAATGTCTCTTTGTATTGTCGGTACGTACTATATTTAATGAAAGACACCGGACTTCCCGTGTCTATTAGAGCCAATAGATTACATCGCTCACCGTTGATGTCGCTAATTTTTATGTACGGATTTTCCAGCTCCAGTCTGGTACCTGTGCTCTGGACCATCGCCACTGACTCTCCTTCCGCCGGGTTGGCTGCGACCGTGGCTGCTACCTTAGGGGTCGACGTCTTCGTTGCTGTTCCGTGGTTCGCGTCCTTGGATTTCAGCTTCGGGCAGTCGAAACTGCGATGTCTCGGCGCTTTGCAATAAAAGCAAATGATTTCGGCCTTACAGTCTTTTGCTCCGTGACCCTTTTTCCCGCAATTCCTGCAAGTACCGTCTTTTGGTGGCTTCGTTTTGGCCGCTCCATTTGTCGGGTTCTTCCTGTCCCAGTCTGTTGCTCCGTCTGTGATCCGTCTCATGACCTCCAAGAACTCCTCCATCGTCTTCGAGTTTAGCGATAGTGCCGTCGCTCTGAGTGATACTTGCTGTATTCCTCCGATGATCAATTGGATTGCATCTGGGACCGGAATGTTTAACCGTTGGATCAAGGTCCATTTCTCGATGGCGTACTCGTCGAAGGTTTCTTTGTGGATCATCCATTTGCGCGCCTCTACTTTCTGCATTAACTTATGGTACGGTATCTTATGATCGAAGAATTTCTTCAATTCTTGTTTTAGATCCGTCCATGACTCTAATGTCGTTCCTGTCTGTAGGTCGTACCATTTTTTTGCTGCTTTGGTAAAGCGACTCGATGCTGCCAAGAGTGTCGCCCCTGAGTGTTGAGCTGTGTATCTCGGCCACTTTGTCCACTCTCCTGATCCAGGCTCCTACGTTGTCGTCTTCGGATCCTGCAAATTCCGGGATTTGTGTGGCCAAATGTGTGACGTTGTTATTTGTGACCTGCCCCTCGGCCATCCTGTTGCGCGTCGGTGACCCCGTCGAGTTGGTCGATTCTTCCGAATTGTCCTGAGCGTTGCTCATCTGATTTGTGGCCTCGTTTCCTTGCAGTCGGTTCGTCATAGTTTGCATGAGCAAGTTAAAATGTTGCTGCTGCTCCATGATTGTTCGCTGCTGCTCCGTGATTGTCCGTTGCTGTAGCTCGTGGGCTTTTCTCTGTTGCTCCATGAGCTCCTGCATGGATTCCATCATGCGAATCATCATGGTCTCCGTTCTATCCTGATCGGTTCCTCCGACCTTCCGTCCTTTATCAGTCGTCTTGGCTGATGTTCCTTTATCGCGGTCCTCGGCTGTCCCGCTTTTCTCCTGGTGCGTCATCAGTCTTTCTATGAGAGCTTCTTTTCCTCCTGTAATTGTCAGGAGATTTTTCCTGGCTTCCTCTTGGAGCTGCTCCACATTCAGCCCCTCTAGCCTGGAGCGTTCCATGTTTAGCTGGGCCCGCGTAAGTACCATACGCCCTTGAGGCTCGTTTGAACTCAACGGCTTTTTCGTGAATGTCTTTGTCTCCGCTCGAAGACTCGTAAACCGGGTTTTACGCGATTTCGCGGCGATCTCTAATTCGTCCGTTACGTGCTAAGCTTCGCGGTTCATCCCACTTCTGAAATTTAGATGTAGAGGATTTTATAGGATATCGTCAGGATTAGGCGAAGAGGGGGCGGGAAACCACTGACTTGAACACAAAAATCACTGAGCACCAATTATATTCAATGTATGTGTATATAAGCACTTTGAACAGTTAATTAAAATTAGTCGCACTTAATCGCGTCACTCTATTTTATCGGCAAGAACTCTTTATAACTTTCACGCGGACTGACTCGCAGGACCGGCGCGGGTCCCTTCTCGCAGGCGAGTGCCCGTTTTTGGCGAGCACGGCTCAGCTCCGGTTCGCTCGAGCTTTCACGCGCTTTTCACGTGCAACACCTGTCGAGGCTTCTCGCAGTGTTCACGTGCTCCGATTTTTGGCGCGAATATACTTACAGATCTGCGTATAACTTGCACAATGCCCAACATAGAAGTCGGGGCGGTGGTACCGGCCTACCCGCGCAAGGAGCATGCTTGGCGATGCTAGGAATCAAGGGTGCGCATCCCGCAGAACCTGGCCAGAACGCCAAGAGACTCGCTCGAATCGTTTGCGCCACTGTACTCGCTGCCGAGCTGTCCTTGATGGCCGCGTTGGCCTCCGGGGATTTGGTCAAGAGTCATTTGAGGCACAACAGGTATATGACTTGAGCGCGTCTCATTGAATTTATACGTATACGTTTGGAGACTAACTGAAGAATTACATTATTAAAATCTACTTTTACAGCAATTTTTACTCAACATATAGTTGCTAATTATTGAAATAACTTGATGACTAAATGAAGAAGTTTATTTCCAAATCATCTTAAATTCATACAGCATTGCGAGAAGCTTTATAAATTATGTAATGCGAAAACAGTTTGGCGATAAAACTCCAACTATGTTGAGTCTATGAATACAGCTATTAAATACTGTTAATTTTTTAACTAAATATTTTGTCGCAGGTAACTAAGTTGCACGTTTCTCTTTCTGTTTGCAGTTCATCTGTCCTAATTAGTAACCCGGTGACCACTGCTCACAGAAGTAGTAGCAGTAGTCGCGACAACAAGTTAACGGTGCCAAACGTTTAGTCATACTAAAACTTTTGTGTAAACTGCGCTAAAATCTTAGTGGCTAACAAATATTTTCGTCCTTTCCGTATGATGAGAGCTGTTTATATGTATATCGTTTCGTGCCTGCCTCATTAGTGTTCCAAACAGATCGAGTATGTTTCTGCTGTATGTGATGAGATGTAGGTCGAATTATGATGTGTATATTACGCCTATGTATATACGTATATGGAAAGAGAAGTATTGCAGTTCTGACGGAAATGATAAAATGTCTCTCCTTATGATGCTTTAATGTAAATAATAAACTTTTTGATTGTTCCGAAATATCAATTTTATCTTAATCAGGATATTAAATATCACAGTCATGTATTGCAATATATAAATAATAAAGTCTCATTTTATCTCTTTGTTTCGCTATAATTTGCACGCGCTTGTTCTTCGAATCCGAGGTTTAATTCGTCCACGAATCAATGAAGCTGACGTTCAAAAGCGGATGGTGTCCGAAAGAATACGATACTGCTCACAAACAGCTGATATTACAAGTTCGGACTACGAGGATGTTGATTCGTCTTGTAAAATACAAGGGTCATGTCATAGAAAGAAAGTAAGTGTATCATTATTAGCTGATACAATAAACTTATTACCCAGCAAGCAAAATGGTACGGATGATTTTATTTTGAACAATTAAACATTTACAAGAATTATATAAAAAATTAATAAGCAAAAAGACTTTATCCATCTATTATAGTATATATGTTATTTCACTGTACCTTACAATATTCTAGAATCGAACAGTTACTTTCCTTTTCATGTAAGAAACATTGCATAACATTGTTTGTTAATATAAACATGTTTTCAGGATACAACGGACACCGCAAAAAGAAATGTGGCTGTAACTATTGCCGAGAAAGTTGTAGAATCGTATAAACAAAGTTGTTTCCTGAATGAAAGACCATACATTACTGACAGCTGCACGAATCAGCGTAACATTCCTAATGATATTCAACGTGAAGGTAATTAATACAATTTACTGTTCTAATGTATGATTATATATAAGTAGCCATATAAAGACAAATTTAAAATATAATATTATTAAATATATGATGATATATGGAAAATTTTTTCCCGGGTACAAATACTCCC